GCAAACTCAGCTACATGCCTCCCACCTGCACGGCAACGCTCCTTTGGCCTCAGCTGCCAGGCACACATGTGCGACTGTGTGTGCGACCTGGAGGAGTCCCTAATGATCGTGGTCGCCAGGCGGCTCCCTGGGCACCCAGCGCCGAACTCTGTCCCTGGTGTCCTCGTGCGTCCGGCCACTTGATCCCCACAGCATCCTCCTGGGGAAGGGGCTGCAGCCACCCCCACTTTATAGGCAGGGAAACTGAGGTTCAGAGAAGCAAAGTGCCTCGCCCAAGGTCACCCAGCCAGGAAGCGGCAGTGGCAGGATCAGACCGCAGGCCGGCTGCTGCACACTCCCGCAAGGAGGTCTCATGCCCCAGCCAGCCTGTGTGCCCAAGGCCCGGCAGTGGTGTGCCAGCCTCTGAGGCCATCTCACACTGGCCACAGCATAGCAAGCTCCAGCAGGCCTCACAGTAAAACCTCAGCCGTGAGAGACACGGTCGACTTTCGCGCAAGAACTAAAGCACTAAAGCAAAATCAAACACGATGGGCCGCACCCTGCCATGAACTACCAAGCGCTGCGACCTGTTGCCACTCGTGCCCGGCTCGAGCCGGGCTGGCATCCGATTGCTCAGAGCCTGGTATTCAACATTCTGGGTACTGCTTCGAGGGGAGCTTAGTAACTGTTCCTCAGAACGGACAGGAGGAGGGCCAAGGTGACCTTTGCTCTGTGGCCCTACAGAGAGCCCTGGGAAGGCCCTGCCTGGCCTTTAGATACTGCCCAACAAGGATGCCAGAGGGAGCAGTGAGTTTGCTGCACCCCGGGGAGCTGCGGCCCAGGCAGAACACAGGACCCCCACCCTGGGAGCCACGGGTGTGCCCGGCCTCTCCTGCCTGTCCCTGGCCAGTCTGGCATCCACGAGGCCAGGGCCTTTGGCAGTCCTAGGCGAGGATCAAGGCCGGGCAGGATCTGCAAAAATTTCCCTTGAAAGGCTCTTTTTCAAGATTTTCTTTTGAAAACAAATTCATAACCACATCAAACAGGAGTCCCCGTTGCCTTGGGTTTGATCGCCGGCCGCCCGGGGCTCTCTAACTAGCTGTTATTCTAATTGCTTTTTTCTCTTCCGAGGGCTGCATAGGTCTCTTATGGTTATTAATTTGGTGAGTGCAGGCCGGGCACAAAGCAGCTTTTGTCTGCCTTGCCTTTTAATCACTATCAAATTGCAAATAATGGCGGGGGCTGAGATCCCCAAAATTGATCTGTCCCAGCAGCTCTTGGGGAGCTGGCCCCCGTGCCTGGAGTAGGCACTGCCTTCCCCGAGGGCGGCAGCTCCCCGATGGCACCTGTCAGGATGCACCTTCCTGTGGGTGGGGTCCGGCCTCGGCCACGCGAGGTACCTGTCAGGCTCCTCCATCACCACCAAAACCAAATACGCCCGCGAGACGAAGGTACCCTATGCACACAGTGGGGGGTGGGAGCCTTCAGGGACGTGTGCCCTGACAAGTGCTTGGGTCAGAGCTGAGCCTCGGGGGCTGCAGAGGAGCCACCTGTAGCCCAGGCCTGGGTCCTTCCCATAAGGGGGGCAGCATCGTGACGCCTCAGATGTGGACCCGCCCTGGGCATCCAGCCCACATCCTGGCCCACTGCCGGGGCCTCGTCTCCAGCAGTCAGGATGATGAGAGCATGTCTCTGGGGCAGAAACCCAAAGCCAGCCCCTCAAAGCCCCAGGCACCGCAGGCAGCAGTTGAGGTGAGCTTGGGACTGGCCAGAGCCGGGTATGTGCTGATGCTGGGCCTGCAGCTTCAGCGGGTGCCTGTGTCAGTCGGAGGCGAGCCTGGCTCTGTGGCTGCCTCCCTGCCCCAAAGGTAGCTGAGTGCCTCTCTCCACGGTGCCACGGCGCCACAGCTCCCTGCCAAGAGGAGCTGTCACCAAGGTAGCTCAGGACTGAACGTGGCTCCAGCCACACCCTCAGCCTGTACACCCTGCCTGTGGCCCTGCCACCTGCCACCTGCCACCTCCCTCCCTCCCAAGCGTCCCTGGTGAAGGCCTCCATGCCCATTAGCACATGTGGGCTTGGACAGATGTTCAAGTGCCGTAAAGTGAAAATTTATGAAACCACAAATGTTCATCTGTGATGTATTTGGTGCTTTAATTAATGCCAAACCAATCGATACCCAAGCTGGGGCCTGCACAGTTAGTGGCAGTAAGCCAGGCAGAGCCGACCTCGTTCAGCACTGCCAGGCTGCAGGGCCCAGGGAGCTGGGTGGGCCCTAGGACACAGACCTGGGCTTTGCCCTGGAAGACTCAGGCTGGCTGTACCTTTGATCCGCTATGGTCTCGTAGGTCTCTGGGCCTCAGTTTCCTCCCGTGCACCCTGAAGACTGGGCAACCTCCCATGCCCCATGGCAGGCACAAGCAGGTTGTGGGACTGAGAGGGCTGGTCCTGCTGGCAGCGGGAGCCACAGGGGCTGGGGTGTGGGTGAACGAGAACAAGACCTCAGGCTGGCCCCCTCCCAGAGGCCCCGCCTCTCCCTGCCGTCTGCTATCCCCAGCTCCCTCCCTGTCACCTACACTGTGTCCCGCCTCCCCCCTCCACCACAGCTCCGTGGTCTCAAGATGGAGACTTGGGGCAGGAACTTCGAGGACAAGGTGTGAGCCATTGCGCTCTCGGCAGTGACTCTGGCCCTCTTTTCCTGGGCCTCAGTGTCTGCATCTGTGGGATGGGGTGTGGACCTCTGTGGCTAGTCCCCAAGTGGCTTTTCAGAGCACTGAAGTGCTGGCTGGTCCTTGCCTGAGAGGGAGCCGGGTGTAGGGCCCCGGCCCCTGCCCCTTTGCCACAGAAGCCCTGCACCCTTTCCTACATGGCCTGGGCTTCACATCACCTCCATCAGGTTGATCTGGGAAAAATAAAACATGGAGCTCCCTCTGGCCTGGACCATCAGACCTGGGACGTGCCCCTGCCCCTGGGCCCGGGACAGGGGTGTCTCAGACGGCCCATACCTGAAGGCAGAACCACAGGGGAGCCAGAAGCCTCCACCCCACAGACCCCGACACCCAGGGCTGGGAGTGGGTCCCCTGGGCCCATGCTCTGGGCAGGGCACAGTCTCACTTCCCAGGTGGAGGCTGCCCACCTAGCCCTCTAGACAGACACTCGGCCCCACTCCGGCAGGAGCCCCTCATCTCAGCCTCTCACAGCGCCCTGCTGGCCGCCTCTCCCCAACCCTGCTCAGCCTCCATGGTGGCGGGGAGGGCTGATGACCACAGCACCCAGCCTTTGAAGCTGGCCTGGGCCTGCCCAGACCCTGGCAAACTGGTTGCTCCCTCTCTGGCCACCTCGGGGCTTGTGCCCACAACACCCAGCAGCATCTTCCCTGGGGTGGTCTCACCTGCACAGCATCCAGCCCTGGCCCACACCTTGCCCCGAGCCTTTCCGGCTGGGTCAGCAGTGGGGCGGGCGCCCGACAGGCCAGGCCTGCCCAGAGCAGCCTGGGGTAAAGACATGGAGAATGCACAGCCAGGTGGCCCCAGCTCCCGCCTGCCGCCTGTCCTTAGGGCCAGTGGTTGACGCTGCGGCTGAGTCATCTTCGTGCCTTTCCGCAGAGCCACGCTTTTCCCAGAAGCAGCTCTGCTGTTAGCCCTTATCGGGTGTGATCTGGTGGCTCCTCCCCCACCACTTCTAGGCCCTTCCAAGGCGCCAGGTACCCGCAGTGGGGGAGGGTCTCCGTCCTTCTCCACAGAGCATGCTGCTGAGGGGCTCTCCTGCAAGAACGTGGCAGGCTGAAGGCCCAGCCCTGTCTCTTGTGGCCACCATCAGAGCTGTTCATCCCCACTAGACACTCACTCATCCTGGGGCCCAAGATCCACCCTCCTAGAGAGAGGGGTCCCCAACCTGGACTCCCACCCCTGCCCTGGTCTGCCCTGGGGTTGGCCCTATTCCACCCAGCACCTGCTCTGAGGGTGCCAGCCTGCCGGACAGGCACTCCCACTCTCCCCATCAAGGTTGGACGGCCACTTCCCACCTGGGGACAAGCTCCAGCCTTGGACGATGCCGTCCTTCCAAGGAGCTCTCAGACCACCTGGCTCTCCACTGGCCTGGGGCTCTTCTGTTGCCTCCGCAGCCCTGCGAGGCCTCCGAGCACCTACTCTCTGCGCCAGGTTCATGTCAGGCTCTGTCCGGCCTTGTCCACCTTTGCAGGGCGGCCACCCAGCATGTAGCTCACTGCAGGGCCAGTCCCTGAGAAGGTGGAGACCACGTGGCTAGGCAGAGGATGCGCCACAGGGCACTGCCCTGACCACAGGGCATGGATGCAGAAGGCGTCTGGGAAAATAGCGGTGTCCCAGCAGGTTAGAGAAATGGGATAGCAGTGCCTGGGGGGTGACAACCTCACCCCTACCCCCTTGCAGAAAGCATCGCAGAGGCACAAGCCCTGGGTCTGCAAGTCCCTCCTGGAAGTGGCCCAGTAGAGGGCCCAAGGCCTCTGCCTCCTCAACCACCCCAGGCCCTGCCCATGAACCAGCCTTGCTGAACTCTGCCCTCTGTCCAGTTCTCCTCCAGACTGAGTAGATGAGGCCCCTTGACCCTTACCCCAATCCTTTCCTCCAGAAGCCAAAGGCTGCCACAAACCCAGCTATTTCAGGTCTGCGTCCCTGGTGCAGACCCTGTGATATAGGGATATGGCACAGAAGGCCTAGCCAGAGGCCACAGATGCTGAGCCAGCCCCAGGGGGCATAGGAGGAGGAGAGGAGGGCCCCAACCCTGAGCCTCCACACCTGTGGACACACACAGGCACTTCAGCATGCACGAGATGGACTCCAGTAGCCACACGTGCACATTCCTCACACACATACGGGCGTGACCAAGGGCCTTGCAGACATGGGGTGCACACGTGCGTGCCGCCTGCACACAGCAGAGATGGTTGGCACCTTCCCTTCCCCGGCCCCAAGCCCAGGCCCCAAAGCTGTCTGCACACCTGGCTGCCTCCCGCCACCAACTCTCTCGTCTGCCTTTGTCCCCGCAGGTGACGCAGCTGGACCAGAGGCTGGTACTCATCACCGACATGCTTCACCAGCTGCTGTCCTTGCACCGAGGCGGCCCCCCTGGTGGCAGCGGCCCCCCCAGAGAGAGTGGGGCCCACATCACCCAGCCCTGCGGCAGTGGCAGCTCCATCGACCCCGAGCTCTTTCTGCCCAGCAACGCCCTGCCCACCTATGAGCAGCTGACCGTGCCCAGGAGGGGCCCTGATGAGGGGTCCTGATGGGGGGTTGGGGGTGGGCCTGAGAGGGGAAGCCAAGAGTGGCCACACCTGGCCCTCTCTGAAGGGGGCACCACCCGGCCATGGCCGCCTCCTGAAAGGCCCAGAGAAGAGCCCCACTCTCATAGGCCCCAATACCCCGTGGGCCATGCTGTCCGCACAGCCTGAGCCTGGGGACTCAGCAAAGTCACCTCTTCCTGGCCGGTGGGTACTAGAGGCTGGCTGGGTATGAGAGGCCCCGTCTCAGGTCTGAGTTCTTATCCCTAGTGCCCTGGCCCCCACATGTGATGTTGACATCACTGGCGTAGTGGTTGGGACTCATCGGCAGGGCACCAGGCCTGGCCCACATATGGCCAGGAAGTGGCACAAGCTGAGCGCAGACCCAGACTGCCGGGCCCAGAGGGCTTCCTGAGGGGATGCAGAGCAACCCCTGGACCCCAGCCTCAAATTCAGGACCCTGCCAGGCACAGGCAGGACAGGACCAGCCCTCGCTGACTACAGGGCCACCGGCAATAAAAGCCCAGGGGCCCATTCCGAGGTCCTGGGGCTGGCTCCCTCACTCTCAGGAAATGCTGACCCCATGGGCAGGGGACCGTGCAGGCTGTTCCTTAGCCCCCAGCTTCCGGCAGGAGGGACAGTCTCGCCATCTCCCCAGGGCACGAGGCTGTGTGGGAAATGCCCACTTCCCTCCCTGTGTTAGACTGGCAGCTCTTGCTGGCTGGAGAGGAGCCCCACCCCCAACCCCCGCCCCCAAGCCCGCTCTGCGCGAGGCTCCCACCTCCAACCCCTCACCCAGTCCTGCAGCCAGCCAAACACACAGAAGGGAACTGCCACATCCCCTCGCCAGCTGCCGAGCCGCTGAAGAGTCGTGGCTTCTGCAGGGAGCAGGGGTTCCTTCTGGGCATTACATCGCATAGAAATCAATAATTTGTGGTGATTTGGATCTGTGTTTTAATGAGTTTCACGGTGTGATTTTGATTCTTAATTGTGCAAGCTTTTCCTAATAAACGTGGAGAATCACAGGCTGGGCTGGGCACTGCTCTCACCTTGGTTCCTCAGGCATCCACGGGGGTCTCTGGGACAACCTGGGGCTCAACCTCCACATCCCCAGCCTGCTTCCACCGATGCCTTCGGGCCTCTAGGTTGCTTCCTCCCCAGGAGACCCCACACACCCACAGACAGGACCCCTGTGGTTCCCCTGGAAGCAGTGCCCAGGAGGCAGTGGACTAGGAGCCCTATGTCACTGTACCAAGGAGTGGGTCAGAGGGGCTGCAAGATGCCAGTGTGGGCTGTAGCCCAGTGATGTCGCTCCTGACCTGGGATTGGGCAGCCTGCCCTGGGCTGGCCCTGGCACAGAGTGCAGTCACAGTGTGGTCACTGCCTGTCACCCAGCAGACCCCATGCCCTTGGGGCAGATGTGGTTTTCTGGGCCTCTCTGCCTACCCCTTCCAGGCCAGGGGCCCTCGACCAAGGACCCACATGCTCCGCTATGGGAGCAGGCCCCACCCAGGCCCACTCCCCAGGATGCCAAGGCCAGATTCTGGGAGGACAGGGGGTGCAAGGAAAGCCTTGACCCCTGGGCCTCCCATATGCTCACCCCTGTCCTCCTCTGGGCCTCTGTTTCCCCATTGGTAACACAATGCTCCCTTAGCCTGTCCAGTCCTCTGAGCAGGACAGAAGGGCCACCACCCCACCCAACCTGACCCCGTGGCTACACCTCTCTTCGAAGCCCTCCTCACCTGAGGTGGAAACAGCGCCTCACTCTCAGACACGGACACACTCAGCCAGGCAGGTGTCTCTGCTGTGCCTGCGCCTCAGCTATGGGACCGTTTCTTGATCCTTCAAGACTGAAGCCCTTTTCTGTCCTCTTTCCAGAGCCCACCCCAAAGTCCCAGGCCATCAGGGCTGGGAGCATCTGAGCTCTCAAAGATGAGGCTGTCCTGGGTCCACTGGAGGCAGCAGGTGGCAGGGACAGGAGCCCCAGGTTTCTGTTTGGAAGCCTTGTCAGAGGGGAAGGCCTAGGTCCCACCTGGTGCCAAGCCCGCTAGGCCCATGCCCCCACCCACGGGCCTTGGCATCTGGCCTGGCCAGCACTGAGCAGGATGCAGGAGGTGGAGGGGCAGCGCGGGGCTGCCCAGGCTTCCCCCGCCTGCACCCACCCAGGAGGCGCAGGAGCCGCAGTCACTGAAAAGGCAGGAGCTGTTGTTTCCTTGTTGGGTAAATATTTGTAGAAACCCCGGGATGCCGGCCGGAAAGCAGAGCCCTCCACAGCGCCCAGGCCCCCAGCCCCGGCCACCCACCCCGGGACCCCAGCCCGCAGGGAGCTCTGAGGGACCGCCCATCTGGGCCGGGCGCGGCCCCGGCACCCACCCCACCTTGTTGTCCGTATTATGGACTGCACACAAAGTGCCTGAAGACTCCACTCCTGGACGGGCCATTGCAGCCCTCTCGGGTGTGAAATGCAATTTACCTGAAATAAAGCCCAATTATGGAATTAGCTAATTAAAGCCTCGGTAGAGGCTGGGCCCAGCCGGCCGGGCACTCAATGCCCGCTGGTGCCCGTGGACTGAGGGAACAGATGGCGCCTCAGCCCGCCGTGCCGGCCGCATTCCTTCACTCTGTCCCCCGATAAGTGACCTAGACAGCACACGACCATCTGGTGTGTGGCACGTCCTGCGGGCCCCGGACAATGGCCCGGCAGACCTCTCCGAGAGAGGGCCGTCGCCTGGGTAACGGTGGCATGTGCAGCCCCGGCCCATTCACGGCCCCTCCCGCAGCCCCTTTCTTCGGGCCCTTTGTGGCCTCGCCGCGGCTGCCTGGCTGCTCTGGCTGAGGGTAGCCGAGAGTGTTTGTCCGCAGAGCAGGCCTTTGTCTCCAAATTGGGCTCCCTTATTGAGGTCCTCGGGGTCCAATAGGTGCCAGGAGCATCTGCTGGGGGTGGCTGGGGGAGGGGCTGCTCCTGCTTCCTGAGCACCCACCTCCTCTGCCAGGCTCTCCTCCCCCATCGCCTGCCCTCAGATGGCCTCTCGTGGACACGGGGCATGTCCCTGAGGAAGCCAGTCTCCAGGGCTGGCATTGGCCAAGCCCGAGGTTCTCCCATCTTCTGGCCAAGGGGCCAGGAGGAGGAGGAGGAGACAGGGGCCGGACCCGCCTGCAGCCCCTCGCCTCCCACCCCAGCCCTGTCTGCAAAATGGGGAACAGTAAAAGTGCCCCTGGAAGGGGTGTCGGGGACAGCGGCTTGATGGAGGTGAGACATGTCAGCTCTGGGCTTAGGCCAGGCACACAGTAGGCGCTTAATAAAGGAAGCCAGGCAAACCACCTGGGTGGGTGATACTGGGCTCCGCCTCCTCAAGGCACTCCTGCCTGGCCAGCCTGACACCTCAGAGCTCCTTCCCCAGGCCCCTCCTGCAGCCAGCCTCACCCCACCAAGCTCCCTGCCCCTCGGAGCCAGGGCGAGCCGTCCAGCTGGCAGCTCCCCACCCTGCTCCCAAGCCGACTGTGGCTCCTCATTGCCAACCAGGCCTGTGAGGTCCCACAAGCTGCAACCCTGCTACTCACCCTGGGCATCCCCCGGCACGAGCCCAGCTTCGCCTGCCTCACCCTGTACTTGATGTCCAGCCCCAAGCTCCCAGGAGGCACAGTCCTCCTCCCCACCCAGGACCTCCTTTGAGCACCATCTTGGCAGGCAGCCCCCCATCAGCACGGTGGTCAGGAGTCAGGCCCACCATTGGGGTGTAGGGGCTGTGCTGGGCACTTGGGCCCCCAAAATGGGCGGGCGGCTGGCAGTGCCTATTACAGGCCTGGCCCCAGCGGGGTGCCCAGGAAGTGCCAGTTAAATTAACGAATAAAATGAAAATGCAGATGGACGCTGCGCCACATTGCATTTGCAGCAAAGGTACCACGACCCAAGCAGGGCATCACCAGGCACCCCTCCAACGGACAGGAGAGGGGCCACACCCGTGCCCTGAAGGAGGGGATCTGGCCAGGGTTTTTGATCTGGGGCAGCCGAACAGCTGCTGGAGGGAGCAGAAAAGCAGTTGAGAGCCAGGGCTCCTGGGGCCGCCCCACATGCAGCACCCCCATCTCCAGGGACTCTGCCGAGTTACCTGCAGGGATGGGGACCGCCCTTCTTCAACTCTGTCAGGTCCCTACTTCGGAGTGCCCGTCTGAGCGGTGCCAAAGTCCGCTCCTCCACACCCCTGCCTCCTCCCACTGCGGCCCCTAGGCTCTGAGACCCAGGGGCTCCTTGGGATCTTAAGCGTGTCTCAGTCTCACCATTCTTGGCCCCAGACAGCACCAACCCCGCTGTTGCCTGTGGCCCTATTCCTGTGGCCCTGGAGGTCTAGCGAGTTGGGAGATCAGGCCTGTGGCCTGTGTCTCAGCACCCTTCACCTTTCCTGTCCCTGGGCCACTGTGTCCCCACCCAGGTTAGCCAGAGTCCCTGGCAGCCAGGCCTGGAGTATGCTGGGGGCAGCCACAGCCAAACAGAGCTTCCGTTCCTACTGGTGTCTGCGTGCAGACAGCCGAGGCTAGGGCCCCTGGAAGCCAACAGGTGGAGCCTCGGGGAGGAGCTCTAGAGGGCCCGCAGTCGGGCAGGACAGGAGGGCCGGGGGCTGCCACCCCACCCCAAGACCTTAGAGGCCAAGGCAACAGCCCGTGCCCACCCAGGGACTGGCTGTGTAACAGGAGGCCTGTTGACCTCAAGATTCTTCTCTGTCGATCCTGCTGTGACCTCCTGGCCCTGGCTGGCCCTGGCTATGTTGCCTGGCCTTCCCTCCAGCACCCCTGCGAGGCACCAGCCTCCTGCAACTCCCCTGCCCTGCAGCCCCCACAACTCAAGGCACCTGAGCGAGGCAGAGGGTGGAGGAGGTGAGCTGCCCAGCCCCAGGCAGCCCTGCTGGCTTCCAGGGAATGCTGGGGTCCCCTCCCCTCCTCCTCCTTCTAGACCCTCATCCATGGCTTCCAAAGGGGGCAAGGCTGCCCTTCATTCCCAGAGCCAAGCCAAGCCCTGCCCCTAACCTGTCACCAGGCTTGGATTTCACATGTGTCCAGGCAGCGAGCCCTAGGCCCAAGAACACACAAGCTGGGCCCAGAGGTGGCTGGGGATGGCTCCGTGGGCAGAGTTCATCCTGGCGCCTTCTGGGGCCTCAAACACCCAATTCCTTCTACTTCCTGGGAGTGGACCCAGGATGCAGGGGGCAATGTCAAGACGGGAGTCCAGGGCTTGTCACCTGGGTACAGTGACCCCACCTGCATGGACCCCCACCCTGGAAGCCCCCCACCTTCTCCTCTCCCCACTGCCAGTCCCTCCACCACATTCCCCATGGCATGCTCCTTTCTAGCCTGCAGGATACTCGTGGTCTTTCTGTGGCATCGCAACTGAGCAGCATCAGGGCAGGAGGTTCAGGCTCAGGGAACCAAGCTCACAGCTTCGCCTCCCACCCAGGCCTGCACCCTGGGAACCCGGTGGTGGCAGCAGCAAATCCACGGCAAGGAGGTGACAGGTGTCCGAAGACAGAGGAGACTCACACCGAGGGGAGAGACCCAGCACAGAAAGGCCTCAGAGCTCGTGAGGCCCCCGCCTGGTACAGACAGGGAGACCACGGCGGGGGAAGGCCAGGCCAGGGCAACACCTGTTCTGTGACTTTGCTTTGGAAAAGCCTCAGAGAAGCACTGGGACTTCCAACAGCAGAGAAGTCAGTAGGTCAACCAGGAAGCCAGAGGCCAGGGAGGGACTGACTGGCTGAGAGCAGGAGCTGGCACTGCTGGACCTTGGGCTGGAGAGGTCAGACCCGAGGATGGGACGCTGCACATTCGGGATGGTCTGAGCGCAGCTCCTCCACTGGCCCACACAGGCCAAGAAGCCACAAAGCACTGTGCCTGCCTGATACAGCTAAGGGTCAGGTGGGCTTTCCAAACACGCCCACTGGCTCCAAGAAGGCTGCTGTTGCACCTGCCCCACAGAAAATCCAAACTTCCCAGTTGGATCCTCAAGAAACTCTGTTACAGCCTGACCATGAATGT